AAAAAAAAAAAACCGCAATACTCTAAAACCCAAGATACACGAGATACTCAAGATACAAGATAACCAAGATTCCAACACCAGCATAATCTTTATCCACCCACCCATCCATCCATCCATCCATCCATCCCTCCATCCATCCACGTGCCCACCCACTCACCCACCCACCCATCGATCTATTGATCTATTGGCTGTCTTACCGCAGGTCCGAGAGGAAGTCACTCAACGTTCTCTTGTTGCTAAGCGACAAATGGAACTCAAAGACATGGTCATAGAAGATGAAGTCCCGGATATTGGGTCAGTTAGCCACTGGACATTGTTCTTGTCGCTCATATAAAATAGACTGCGTGCTTAGTCCCTCTATTTCCCTTGGTCACTGTCCGTCTGTCTGTCCGTGTCGATTGGTCGAGGAAGATTGGTTACGAGTCAAAAGTCCCTGGGGGAGGGAGGAACGAAAGAGACCAATCGACACGGACAGACAGACGGACAGTGACCAAGGGAAATAGAGGGACTTCGCTCGCAGTCTAATATAAAAAACGTAATCCCTAATCCATTACCTCGAACATGCGGGAAGTAAGAGCCTCGTATTTAAACTAGAGAATTAGGAGGGAGAAAAAAACAGAGAAACTGGAGAAAAGCCCTCGAAGCACAGGAGAGAACCAACAAACAACTCTACTCACATACAACACAGGAGAGAACCAACAAACAACTCTACTCACATACAACACAGGAGAGAACCAACAAACAACTCTACTCACATACTACACAGGAGAGAACCAACAAACAACTCTACTCACATACTACACAGGAGAGAACCAACAAACAACTCTACTCACATACGACACCGATCCCGGGTAGCCTAGGTATGAGGCGGCGTCTTAGCGGCGACACACACCACCCTTTCTTCCTATAAGGCTATTTACAAACGAATGTGTTTGTGGTTGCAGGACATTAGGGATACGAATAGGACAGCTGTTTGCTCCAAGACGACCTTTAAGACCCGTGAGGAAGGAACGAAAAGTCGTTGGGGCTCAGGTAGGATTAATATTATCATCAAATCCAACCAATCATAAAGCATCTTCGCATTGACATCTTTATCAGTATCAGTATCATCATCTTGATAATCACCTTTTTTCATCATTTCGTTCAGTAATCATTCTTACGCTTTGATTAATTAAATGGTCTCTTAATACAGAACTTGACAGTAACGGACGTCAAGGTGCTGGTCAATGTGGTCCGTGCTCTGGATATTCCAATACGCAACGAACACCAGAGGACAGCGTAAGTCGAATAAGAAATTTAACAAATAGACATCAGTTTTTTATGTGTCTGTCCTCTTATTGACGACAAATTGCATCATCACATTGTAAAAATAGTGTGGATCCACGAGGCGTCTATTTGTTTTTTACAATAACAAAAACGATAAAAACTTCTCATCTTTAGCGATCAAAACAACCATCGGAAAGAGCGCGCGCTCGTTGACGTCAGCTTTATCTGTCTGTCCTCTTATTGATGTTAAAAAATAACCAATCAGCGCGCGAGAAAATTGTAAGTTATTGTAAAAATTCAGATATATATTCAGGTCTAGGGATAAAACTCTGTTCACATAAAATGCTAGTCCAGCAATCAAACCTGAAACCTTAAAGGTGAGAGGCGAGTGTACTACCGCTGCGCCAACCTTGATTGCTTGATCTAACCAATTCGTGTAGCTTAAGGTTGAATGCTCTTAAGCACTGATGGAGAGAGGGGGTGAAGGGCGCTCATGATCAGTCTGTTACTTAAACACCAGCTACCAGCTGCAGGAACTATCGACTATAATCTTTCCCTTTACTTGCTGTTTTTTATTATTCTTTAGAAGATCTCCTGATAATCGCTTCGGAGCTACATCCTCACGGCAACCCGGTGGAGGTCCAGTAGCTGGCGGACAGTCCGGGCAAAGCCGTGTGCAAGACCACTCGGATCAGGTAATCATCCTTCCTCCTCGCCTCTCAACCTGCCAAAAGTAGTCTGGTATCAGTTTCACTGGCGGCCATGGTTGGTTACCACGAGACGTTTCCACCTAGAAAAAAGTCTGATTTCTTTTGTGTTTTCACGTTGGCTTCGCATCCAAGATAATTTTGAGAAGGGTCTATTACTCTGGGAAACGCGCGAAGAAGCCTGACTCAAAGTCATTTTAAAGTAAATCTATGCCTTCACGAGGCAACGAATGTTATAGGGTAGATTTTGCATGACTACAAATCGATACGAAAGTATCACGGTACGGAATTGACGACATCCTGTAAACCAATCACAGCGCGCGAGATCACCCAGCCAATCAAGATACTTGAACGCAACACGGTCACGACACGACGCGTCCGTACCTTGAGTTTCTCTTTTCACTGTCTTGCAAATGGTATTTGAGAGCCGGTCCCACACGGTGTTGGTATGATTCATATATCAAATTCTTACTTGTCGAGTTTAATCTCTTTTAGCTTCTCGTCCGTCCTTTTATCGAAGCTGTATTCCAAGGAAATTTTGCAAAGACAAGTGTCGCGGAAGGGCCTAACCCGAGCTGGAATGAACAACTTATTATTCCTTTTAGGTTAGTGTTTTACAACTTGTCATTGTTTAGCTATGAGTCAAAGCATGGTCAGAGAATTTGCGCAATTTTTTGGGACGCTTGGGCAATATTTATTTTTAATTTTTAATGTGAGTTAAGTGTAAGCTGTAAATCGCCCCATGCAGGGAATCCGAACCTATGGTGGATTCAGGATTCCAAGCGCTGGATTTTGGATTCCGAGACTCTGGATTCCGGATTCCAAAACTTTTGGTGCGGATTCTGGATTCGAAAAGGGTGAATTCCAGATTTCATCATAAACTGGATTCCGGATTTCATCATAAACTGGATTCCGGATTCCAAGACGTGGATTCCGGATTCCAGAGTGCTGGATTCCGGATTCCAAAGCCTAAACTTTCGTGGATTCCGGATTCCCTTACATGGGGAAATGTAAAGGTATCAGTAGAGCATATGAAGTGAGACCGTATGAGGAGGCCCGTCACTGGAAGCTATGGTTGTAGATATATACACCTATTTCAGAAATCGTTGTCGGACCAAAAGCCTCAAGCAACAAGCCAAGACCGCAGAGAACGCCGGTACTTTTAGCTGTAATTAGTTTATTCATGGTGCATTTTCATTTATTGACTTCACAAATTGCTCCAAGCAAGGCTGCTTGAGATGATAATTAGTGGAAAGCTGTAGCAACTTGCATGAACCATGAATAAATCATTTATAATTAAAAATCTCGACGTTCTCTGGAGCCTTGGCTTGTTACTTGAGGCTCTTGGTGCGACGACGATCTTCGAAATAGGTGTATATATTTAAGTCTAAGTGTGGAGCGAACCTTACGAAAATCTGATCTCAGAAAGAAAAGTACTTGGCAAGGTCGGGAAATAGGTAGAAAAAAAATGAAAAAATGATAGACAAGTAACAACAACGACACAGCGATTGCCTATACTTTAGAGGGTGTTCTCATATAGTTCTATCATTTCAGGGCGCCCAAGAATGATTACTCACCAGAGAATCTACAGACGGTTAATGATGTCATGTATCTGAACTTGTTTGATGAACTTGTCTATGATATCTTACAGGTAAAATTACTCTTGAGTAGACTTGTAACACTAGGAGTTTGAATATTTTCCAAAAAATCAAAAAAATAAATTGAAAAATTAAAAAATTAAACAAAATTCCAGAATATTTACTGAAAGAAAAAACAAAGAAAGCCCTAGGTCCTTCTGCATGTACCACCAGTTTCGTTTTATTGTATAGGGGACGAACCATTAGATTTTTGAGGGGGGGGGGGGTGGGCAATTTATTTTGTGCACGAATTGTTTTACGCGCCTCAGTCATGACTGTACAGGAATGTTTTTTTGGACATAATTTGGAATTATTTTGAACGATTTTTTTTTCACTTTAAAGTTGTGCTCGAAATTATTTTGGGTTTTTGCCCAACCCCACCCCCCCATCCCCCCTGTTTCGTTGTTTCTGTTGAATGATAAACCGTGTCGGGTACCCGAAGAAGGAGTCCTAACCCTGAGCAACAAATAATTCGAAACTGGGGGTATTAGTGGGACTTGGTTTATTTACACTAAAGCAATGACCTCTGATTCACAAAGGAAGGCCATACCCTCCGTCCCCCTCCCCCACGTACACACCCTTGCATCCACATTGTGTGTTTATTTGATTGGCTACTCTGTACACAGGATGACCGTCAGCGTGGTACTAGTGTACATCAACGTCTAGAGAGACACTGGTTGGGAAGTATAGAGATACCATTCTCTACTATCTACTTCAATGGCAAGGTAAGACACTGATAGACCAATAGATACTAGACACTACAATACTACATAAAAAAAGCCTCTCTCTCTTTCATTTCAAGGTTGAAGGAACGTTTCGAGTAAACACCCCACCAGTCCTTCTCGGTTACCATCATCAGAAACGATCTCTGGGGTCTGGTACTAATGTCCAAGTCAAGCATGACACCCTACTGACCATTTTTGTAACGATTGAGCCGGCGTTACAACCATCACATCCAATGGCTGAACGGGTAGGCACCATTGCTTGGTATCAATCAATCTCATTAAAGACTAGGGCCTAAATTTGAGGTGAGAATTCACCTTTTTCGAATTAGTCAAATACCGCTGTGTTCCTACAGACTCATCTCAACAGGGTTAGCCTCGTCTCAGTGTACAAGTATTCACAAATACCAGCGGTAAAGTAAAGAATGCAAAACTTCGACAATAAAAACACTTTGAAATTCCTTGGAACTTCATTGGAACACGTATTTATCCAAAATAATTTCATACTATATGTAGAACGGAAAATTCGAAACTAGAGAATTGGAGTTGTTTTAGGCCCTCGTCTATCAACTACTTTCCAACTGCGTTATCATCGTCATCTTCATCATTGTCGTCGTCGTCTTTGTTGTCGTCGTCATCATCATCATCATCATCATGACTATAGATTACTTAAAAGGGAACATTGGTTCCCCCTTCCTAAAGCTGAATCACTCTAGTGGATTAAAGTGCTTATAAGCCTTTGCACAATATTTTCAGAATTGATTCTTTAGATAGTGGATAGTTGATTGTGAAAATATTT